TTTTTTTTTTTTTACCATGGACCGAACTTCAAAACCAAACAGGTGTTCTGTAATTTCACCCTAACCAGTCGCAGCAGATAGCCACCCCTCCCTGAACCAGGTTCTACTGGAGGTTTCTTCGTGTTAAATGGAGTTTTTTCTTCCCACTGTCACCAAATGCTTGCACTATATTAAATTTGTTTTTAATGAACTCTTAATTAAATTCTCTTTATAACATCTATGAGCATTTTCTCATTCAATTGGTCGAATGACCCTTGCAAAAACAAACTACCAACAATCATGTATGTATTCTTTCTGTAGTGTAAGTTTTTGTTCCTGTGTATTTTTTCCCCACTAATTTTTCTTGTATATCTGCAAAGGGGTTTTTTTTTTTTAGAGAGCAAGAAAAATATAGAATCACACATTTTTATAACCTTCAATAACATTATACAACCACTCCAAATACAGTCCAGTGATAACATTAGATTCAGCCTTCCAGTCAAGTTAATCTGTCCAGTCTGATAATAGAGCAGAAAAACAGCCTAAGGCAAACAACTTATTATTTCACTCTTTCATAGATGTCACAAAGAGATATTTCTGGGTCACAACACAGAGCCTTACTGAGCTGGTGAAAGAGTTGATGTAGTACTGGGGGCTGCTAATGGAGGGCTCATGGGCTCCAGTGAGTTGCAAGGAGGCAGGATGCTCATCATCAAACGGCCCCAAGCAGCAAAGTTCATGTTCATTTGGGCGGCACGCAGGAAGTCCTTCCCTGTGAGCAGGAATGATGGGAGAAAATTAAATCTGAGCTACATGACTGAAAAAATTTTACATGCAGCAAATACTATGTAAAGAGAAAATGAAGTGCTCAAAAAACTTTGAAAACACCTCAGATCTCAATGGGAAAAGAGGCCATGTGGATATCTCCACTGATGTGGAATAAATAATGTAGTAGGAATTAAAGGTTACCACACTGTTTGATGGTAATGAAAGCACAGAGGGCTGAATTTAAAAACACCTCAAAAATTAAAGTGAAAAAAACCCCAAAAACAACGATGCTGCAGGCTGAAAATTTATTAAAGTAACTCAGAATGGCACTGAGCAGTTTGAATAGCCTCCACATGCTCAGAGGTATTCTGTTTGATTTAAGTCATGCAAGTGTGGAGCCAGTCAAAGGAATAAATTCCTTAATTTTCCAAAAACTTCCAGCATATTCTCCCCACATGAGGCTGGGCATTGTCATGAACCAGGAGGAACCCAGGACCCACTATACCAGTGACAATGACAATGGGTCCAAGAGTTTCAACCTGATACCTAAAGGTAATCAGGGTGTCCTTGCCTAGCCTGTAAAGTTCTATGCATCCCTCCATGGATATGCCTCTACAGGCCATTACTGACCTACCATTAAACCAGTCGTGTTGACCAATGTTACAGGCAGCATAATGTTCTCCATGGCTTCTCCAAATCCTTTTAACATCTGCCACATGGGAACCTACTCTGATCTGTAAAAACCCCAAAGCACCAGTTCTGGTCATCTATAGTAAATGGCTCCAGTGTGGCAGACAGAGATCACATGCTCACAAGAGGATGTCAGCCCTCCCTCATGACCTGATAAGGGCCGGTGTTTCTAATTGTTCGGTCAGAGACACTGACACCAGCGGGCTGCCGGAGGTCATTTTGTATCTCTGGTAGTGCTCTTCTTGTTCTTCCTTACACAGATACTGGTCCTGCTGATGGGTTAGCCTTCTACAGCCCTGTCCAGCTTTCCTAGAGTAACTGCCTGGATACAGGACTCACCTCTATGTTCTTGAGACTGTTCTGTTACCAGCAAACCTTCTGGTAATGACATGTATTGATGTGCCATACTGAAGGAGTTAGACCACGTGTGCAACCCATTCAGGGGTCCAGGTATCACCTCATGACACCAGTAGTGACACTGAGCCTAGCCAAACGCAAAATTACTCAAAAAAAAAAAACATGCAGTAAAAATGAAGAGGGAAAAATGTCAGCGGGTCTCCATCTGTGAAGCTATTCCTGATTATAGGGTTGTCTTCTGTTGCCCCTCTAGTGAACCTGTTATTAATTTCATTACCACCAAACCAGATGAAAGTGATTAACACTCACCGCTGCTATTTAACTGACCAGATCAAAATGCCAGAAGTTTATCTGAGTTGATGCAATACTCTGATTAAAAAAAGTGTTCCTTCTCAAACAGTCTTTTTTTCTTGAAATACAGTACATGTAACCATATTCTCTGAACATTTGCCTAGTAATATTTAAAAAAAAAAATAGTACCAGAGGGTTTCTGGTTTGTTGTGTGCACATAAAACAGCTTGGAAACAAAACCTACAGATCAGCTGATATCAAAGCACACATAATGCACAGCTGATATATCATTGTATATCCATACCCAGTAGGGCATGCTATAAAAGCCACTTAACCTGTCCATCATTGGACATCTGCCAGCTGCTCTTATCGTAGTGACATTTTGCACAGACACACCAGGAGCAACATTTTATGTCCATCTGTCAAAGCTGAAGA